TTCAGTGAGACTCGCCTCCTTGAGATAGTAGAAGCTGCTTGTGAAAAAGCAGATTTTGAATGTAACCAGCTCCTGGAGCAGATAGAGGACCAAGTGGAGACATGGTGGTTCCACAGGTAAATGTAAAATATGTGTTAGGTTGTATGATTGAAAAAAAAACATTCCAAGGTACACCAAGAAAAATGATTTGATGATTAATTACTTTTCGTTTTTTAAATATTCGTTCCCCTCCATGTTCTCCATAAATGACAAAGACGAACAAGACATTTGACCATTCTCTGTTTTAACTTCATGACTGACATGATGTGTGTGTCCTGTAGGCAGCAGGAGGCACCGGACCTGTCTGAGTGGCTGTGCATAGAGGAGCTGAGACTCTGCTGTCCACCTGGACGCTTTGGACCTGACTGCAAAGGTGTGAAAAACCTAAATATTTAAATAGAAGCTTCCTGATATGAGTGTTGATAACTTAACCATCAAGAGTGATTAAGACTTCATAATGATGCAAAATCCACAGGCTAACTCAGAGCTTTGGCTTTTAAGAATATCTCTAATAGGATATTTGTCCAACACAGAATGTCTGTCCAGCCCTGATGGTGTGTGTGGAGGTCTGGGCCGCTGTGAGGGGGAGGGGACTCGCCTCGGAGATGGAGAGTGTGTCTGTGATCCCGGATACTCGGGCCATCTGTGCCAGAGTTGTGCGGATGGCTACTACAGGGAGAAAAGCTCCAACAACAGCATAGGAGCCTGTGCAGGTGCCCGAGATTCAGACAACTGTTTCAGCCATCTACGTGTATTTAATTCAGATTGAGGTCATCTTAAATTGACCTTTCCACTGTCTCCTCGTCTCTCACCCTTTGTAGCTTGCTACCACTCATGTAAGAAATGTGCAGGGCCACAGCACTTCCAATGCCTCGACTGCAAACCCGGCTGGATCCTTCATGACAACAAGTGCGTGGGTGAGTTTGGCTTTAGCTGTCACGTGGTAGCATTTCATCCACTCTTGTGCTAGTTTTCTGGATGTGTGTTGTTTGACTGCCCTTGTTTGTCTCTTAGACATTGACGAGTGTGGAACAGAGCTGGCTCGTTGTCCTTCTAACACCTACTGTCACAACACAGAGGGAGCATACGAGTGCAGAGGTACGATCAGTTGACATTTTGGTTGCTTTTGACAGTATACAAGTTTTGTATGTAATTTCAAGATATGTAGGTTTTCTGCAGCGAGTTTGATTTTTGATTATTTTTTATAAGAGTCAGGTTTTCAGTTACATTTGCAAGACATTGTAGAAATTAAATTGTAAAATACTGTGATTAATCAATAACTTAATATGATTATTTTTTGTATTGATTCATCTGCTGTTTATTTCTTTAATAATTTATTTGGAAACATTTTCCACTGTGTGACAAATTAAGTTATTTATACAATAAAGCACTTAATACCCTCTTTGGTGTGATGTTGACCTCTCTGTTTTGTCGTATCCAGGCTGCGACCAGGCATGTGTTGGCTGCATGGGAAGTGGACCTGCCCGCTGTAAGAAATGTTCCCGTGGCTACAAATTGAAAGGAGCAAAGTGTCTTGGTGAGAATATACCGCTTTTCTATTTTATTTCTGTGTCACACCTTTGTACTGCGGGAGTCCACTGTATTTGATTAGACTTAGACAAAATATGCCCCAAATCACTGTGTATAAAAAGGGACTTTAAACATGCTGGGTTGCCTGTGATGCGCACCAAGCTCGTGTCTAGATGATTAACCTCAATTTGCAAAACTCATAACTTGACGGTTAATGTTTAGGTTAGGTCATCAGCAGTGACGTGCGGTGAGGTTCATGGCTGGTGAGGCACTGAGTCAGATTTACAAATATTATATTTTGACCTTAATCGAAATATTCGGTTATTTTCAAAAGCTTTTTTAGTCTGATGCTTCGATTCATTTTAAACAGACCGTTCAACAAAAGGATACCCAATATCTAAATATTGGATTGTTCTTTCTTAGTAAGATCCCATTTTCATTACAAATGTGGTCTTACCTTGACTTGAAGATGAAGTCCATGCTATCCTTCTGGACAACAATCTCTATTACTTTTTTATAAAAGTCCTCCTTATCTTCCTGTAGTTTCAAAAGTCTAGTTTGTTGTTACGTCTACCGTCTCTGCGTAGAATTACAGTAGCAACAAGAACCTGTGGGCTCACGTGCGCCCCCTTCAGTGCGGCAGAGGTTATGGCTGCCTCCCCTGGTGCATTTTCATTGCCGTTGATACCAGCGAGCCTAAATATCATATATACGTGAAATAAGTTATTTAGATACTATGGATGGCGAGGATAAATGTAATAAAGGGATCTACATACATTACATTGGTGACCTACAGTGAGATGGTAACAGGCATGCGCTTAGGGCCCGCTTTCCAGCCAGTTTCTGTGGGGTGACGCATTCTGAGGTGAGGCAGAGCTCATCTGTGCCTCAACTCAGCCCACAGTAAATGGCTTGAGCGCGCTCACAAAATAAGTGCCCGCGCTGCATTAGTGCCCGCGCTCCAGCAAGTTACTGTGGGCTTACGAGAGGCAGAGCTCGTCCCTGCCTCACTTGTCATCGCTCCCGTAGCGGAGCTCGGCAAATTTGCTGATTTTGACTATAAAAAGCGATTGGAATCATACATAAATCACACTGACAACACAGATCAGTGGAGACATTTTATTATTATTACTATTTCGTTTTTCTTTAGTTGTTTTTCCGTTACATTGGAGTATGACAGGTGAGGCTCTGCCTCCCCTGCCTCCACTGACTGCACGTTGCTGGTCATCAGCAAAAAGTCTTAATAGCTTTTTTTCATTTTGGAAATCGAACACAGCTGACCAAGCTGGATGTGCAACAAGAGGGCTGGAGGATTAAACAAATTAAAACGCTGCTCACATCAAGACAGGACATTTTACCTGGCGCTTGTCATCAATAATAAATATTGGTACATTTTTATAATTTTGTTAAGTTCCACTGTATTTAGATATCTATGTTTATAGACTAAAACATTGCTGCCGTATTTATGCCTTATTGAAATTATGTTTTTTGTTGATGGACCAGCTACAATGTTAGCATAGCCCAGCATCATGATGTAGTCATTTGGACAACCTTTTGATTTTTAATTGCAATGAAATCACTGTAGAATCTTTTTATGGGTTCATATACCGCTGTAGTAAACCAAATAGCCATCATAGTTCACACAAATGATGGCAAAAGTAACAGAGAACTGCATTAAACGGCTTTCTTCTCTCCTCACAGATATCAATGAATGTAGTGATCGTGCAATAGCATGCCCAGGACTCAATGAGGCCTGTATCAATGAGGAGGGGTCCTTCCACTGTGACTGTGCTGATGGATTCATTAGAAGAGACAGCATATGTGTTGAGAACAAGCCTCCAGGTAAGCAGCCGCACCACTATATGTCCAAACACATATATTGCTGACAGCTTCTCAGATCTGTTGGTAACCTTTCTTTATCCTCCTCCTCCTCCTCCTCAGCTGGCCCAGAGAAGGGGCTGTTTGACGACATGACAGACGATGAAGTCCTCGTGCTGCAGCAGATGTTCTTTGGCGTTGTTATTTGTGCCATAGCTACGCTCGCTGCTAAGGGTGACATGGTTTTTACGGCCATTTTCATCGGAGGTGTAGCTGCCATGGCCGGATACTGGCTCACAGAAAAGGGAGACCTAATGCTGGATGGATTTATGAAGGGACGCTAGACTTTCCGGAGCCTCGATGTTAGAAAGGACACCGGAATACCGGCCAGGTCAGGTGAATAAGACTCAACCGGGGGGCAGGAAAGTATCCCTGCAATGCTAACCTTTCAGGGATTTACTTTGGGAGTTACTTGAAAGGACTTGGTTTCATTTATGTTTATGAATAGGATAATGCAAGAAAAAGGGAGAACTTGAAGGCTATCAAGCCATTAATCTTGGAAGAGGAATGACAAAGCAACACTGCACTGATATAAAGGAGATGAACTTAGTCCCCTAACTCAACTCTGTTGGGAACAAGGGTGACATGAAGACAACTACTGATTGTTAAAATCTGTTATGCATTTGGATGTCTCATGCCTCAACTTTGAAATGATGTCGTTTTTTCTTCCACACTATCGAAACCTCCAGTCATCATGTCCATCATGTTTTTTATTATCTCAAAGCTGTAAAGCAGAGGGTTTCCCATGGGCTGATTGTGAGTTTTATCAGGTTACTGCAGCACCCAAGCTACTTGCAATAGGCAGAGGTTAGATAAGGGAAATGTTAGGAATTTACTTAATCGCCCAAAAAGGAGAGTTCATTGAAACCCTGGGATGTTTCCATGATGAGCTCATGGTTTGTTTATGTTCACAGAACTTTACCTCTTTACCTGCTGAATGATTCTTTTTAGTAATAATGCATGAAAATAGGGTTTGAAATGAAAGGTACTACACTGTATGCATTATTTTATTGTCTTACTTTGGCATGGAAGACTGACTTCACCAGCTGCTGGATCCCCAACACTACTGCTATCGACCATTTAATGAGTGTGTGAAGGAATGTGCTTTAGGTACCTACCAACTATGGATCTGGATGACTAAAGCCATTTTCTGTCGCCTTTTATTTATTTTGAAAGCAATATTTATATATTTAAAGATTTTTGTTATCATATTTAGTCTTTACATTTCCTATGTGTATTTGTGTGTGTATTCTCAATACAGTTTTATTTTCATCTGTTCAGTTGTAATTGTAGCAGATATAGTAGCATCATGTTTGAAGGCCACAGTGTCACTTCTTACCCAACCATCTCCTCTGTGCTTGGTTTTCTTCATGTGGAAACTGTTACAGTCATTATTAGTTATAATAGTCAGTTATGTTTGCTTTACAATAAAAAGTCTGTCACACTTTATGTTTTTATTCAAATGTTTTATTTAACTTGATCAGGCTTCCTCAGCTCTTTAAACAGAATGAGTAACAACATTCAAACTTGTGGACTTTGATTTTCTGCTATTGCATGTGGCATTCTAAATTATAGCACATGCAGGAAGTCATTTGCTGAGAGAAACCTGTAAAGGGGAACTCCACCTATTTTACAATCAGTCTTTTAGCAGGTTTTGGGAAGAAATACTCCATAAACAGTGTGTGGGAAAAAAAGCAGTTTGAAATATTTGGTGACTCCAGATGGAGCTGTTTGACTAGGGCTGTTGAATCCATATCGTCTAGTAAGCGTGTTAGTGGTTGGATTGCATTGTGGGTATTGTAGGCATTATCAGTTTTGATTCTGATAATGGAACTCAATGCACAAGTGCTCATAAGTCTTTTTACTGCCTTTTACTTTATCGGAACCAACAGCAATATCACAACATTAATAAAATAAGAGACAAATCATCATTCTTATACATTCAAATAATGCTTAAGATTTTCATTTGGTTCTCCTTTGTTTAGAAAAACCCTAAGGCCCTTTTATAGCTATACCACAGCTCTAATTGCATGTACAATATATGTTGCATCCCAGTTTCATCTGAATCTCATGCATGCCCAAACACTGCTGCGAGGCCAGCCTGAAGTTTTGACTCTGGATGTTGAAGTTTGACCTATTTCAGTGTTCCATTCCAGTTAATGGGGTTGAGGCAGAGCATCTCTCTCTCCTTTAGGGTCTCCTGGGAGCGTGTTAGTGCTCTGTCCCTCCAGCTCTGCTCCATTAGCTGCACACACACACCAGAGACACACAGGGGAAGAACCTCAAACACTTCCTATATTGTTGTAACCTGAGAAGATGCACCATGTTAAAGCATTATCATTACACTGTGAAGGCATTACAAAGGCATTAGCAGTGGATACATAATGTATGTCGTGTTGGACTTTACCCTCTTGTTCTCATCTCTGTAGGCTGTCATTGCTTTGCTGTGCTGGATCCTTAGCTCTCTTTCACCGGACAGTGCGAGGCGGTCCACTTCCCGTAGATTCTCGGCTTCCTTCACTTTACTGGCCACATGTAGCTTCAGTGATATGCCTTTCTCCTCCATTTGCCTCTTTAAATGCTCTAACAACTCCTTCCTAAAGGAACAAATAATTGATTTTCTATGTCAACACTGAATTTTTATATTCAGTGTGTACTGTTTTTAGAAGAAGATTTTAGAGGATAATAGAAAGAGACTCAACAGTTCAGAAGGTGAAAGTGTTTAATTGTACCTGTACTCGTCTCTCTCACTGCTGGATCCATAAAAAGGTTTTCTCCACACTTGATGATACCTGAAACATCAACTACATGTCAGTGACTTTTGACCTCAGCTCTTCTAAAAGGTTGCTAAGGCATTAGTGATTTTCAGTTTTAATAAAATGGTAATGGGGAATTGTTCAGATGCTCCTACCTCTGGTGCTCTCTCCTCTGCATTATCAGTGTCCTCTGGTGGTTGTGGTGGTGAACAGCTGGTGTCTCCAGGCTGACGATGCGTTTATGAACCAAAGGTGGATGTAAAGGGTTCAGTCTTGGGATACTCTAGAAAGCAGATTTATGAACTTTTATTTTTTCTTAGCTCAAACACTTTATTCCCTTGAGACAGTCAGACAATAAATCTCTGCTCACCTGACTGCTTGCCCAGAGCCGGGCAGAGTTTGAGATGCTGGGAAATGTAGTTTGGGTGACCACCAGACAGCGACTCTGCCGGACAGGAAGTGTGTCTTGAGGAATACACACTGGGGTGGAAGCTATGGAGATAGCTGCTGTGGTGATGAAGGTTTAGAAAAACAAAATCACAGCGCATGTTTAAGATTTTACTAGTCGCACTAAAATAGACAACAAATAGAAAAATGGTTTTGTTTCCTTACGTAGTCTCATTTTGTAGTTCAAGCTGTTCCTTCAGTTCATCCACCAGAGAACTTTTTGTAGAATGAAAATTCTCAACGTGTTAAAAAACCTGAACAATTAAATAGTTTTCTTAAACTAGCACATTATGATTTCTGGTAAATCATACCCTAAATTTAAGTACAGCAAATTAGTGCAGCGGCACTAGTTAGAGATTAACTGTGACATGCCTGTGCATTCACTGAGTGTTTTGCGGCGGCAACAGTTGCCTTGGGAATCAGGTTCCCCCCCCCCCCCCCCCCCCCCCGTCATAAAGAAAGCTGCTGCGTAGACTGTAAGGACATGCATCAGTGCACTCAAAAAGAAAGATTATTAGACTCTGACAGTAGATGAACCAGATACAGTCGGAAGATGTCTCCTGATCTCATCTATATATAAAGACATGGAACAACATAACCAGTCTGGTGACTGAGTGAGTAATGACTAATTTCAACTTTTAAACTACTTAAAACATTTTATTACACGTTAAGTAAAACTTTTTAAAAGTAAGGAGACATTTCAGTGCATAATTATAGACACATTCAGGTATAACAATGCAAGTTCATCATAATGCTAATATTGAAATGGTTTATGTGATGCATCTGATTTTCTTGCTTGTTTCCACAGCAAATCTTCTTTGCAGTTCTTCATATTTTGGATTTCAGATTCCAAGTCTTTCATGGTTCTCCCATAGCCAGTCGTGGTATTTGTTCAGCATGTGATCTTCAGGTTTCACCTTTGACATACAAATAGGATTACATGTCAGATTTGGCATTAATAAACATAATAAAACAAACAAAAACGTTTGGATTTAACTGACCACTCTCCACTCGTCCACACAGAAGATCCTATAGGAGTCGTTGCCGTACTTCCCAATACCGTACAACTCAATGGGGTAACGCCACTGTTTAGTTAGATACTCATCTACGCAGGAGAAAATGGATTGTGAGGTATTTCTGGCAACTAGTATTGTATCATGGCTAAACCATACAAATCTACAGGAACAACATATTATTACTTCAATATTACTTCAATAACTGAGCACAAAACTGGAAGCTGTTATCCATCATGTATAAAAGACCAGCACATTCACCTGAGAAGCGTACGAGTGTTTTTGCTCTGAGCTCATACAGGCCTAGTGGCTTCATTAGTTCAGACAGGGGCTTCCAGTCGGCCTCCCGGGTCACCTCTGCAGACGGGTAACGTTCAAAGAACTGCCACAGCACTGGTATGGCCATCTTGCCTGAAGAATTTAAAAAAAGGAAGAGGAATTCTAGACTGAATTCCTGGTTGATACAATACTGTTGCAATTAGGGATGCATATCGTTGGCTTTTTTACGATACCGATACCGACCGATACCACTGAACGATACCGATACTCGACCGATACATATCGTGATACTTTCATGTTGCATAAGGGAAAAATTGAAGCGCTTTATGATATAGTTAACATGTCAAATGAATATTACAATTAATTGTACAACGATGGAGCGAGGAGTCAGATGAGGCACTGCAGGATTGCTTTGCATCCACGGATTGGAGTGTGTTTGAGGACAATAACATCAACACACACACGGATACTGTCATCTGCTACATTGGGAAATGCATCGATGACGTGGTACCGAAGGTTTCTGTACGGACATTCCCAAATCAAAAGCCATGGATAAACTCCGATGTGCGCTGCAAGCTGAGAGCGCGCACTATCGCGCACACAGCGGGAGATTTGGAGGAGTACAGGAAGTCTAGGTATGATCTCCGGAGAGCAATTAAAAATGCAAAGAGACAATACAAAGAAAAGGTGGAATCTGACTTCAAAGGCTGTAACACTAGGAATATGTGGGCGGGACTAAGGACAATGACTGACTACAAAGGAGCAGCGGGGGGTGCTGCGGGAGTGTCTGCGTGCGCATCTCTCCCAGATGAGCTGAACAGTTTTTTTGCACGCTTTGAGAGCAGCCGGGCTGTGGAGGTACAGAGGGACCAGGAGCTACACTGCCCTTTTGTTTTAAATAGGGCAGATGTGTGTAAATCCTTTAAAAGGGTTAACCCACACAAGGCTCCTGGACCTGATGGCATCCCTGGCCGTGTTCTCAGGGTGTGTGCAGTTCAGCTGGCAGAGGTGTTCACAGACATCTTCAACAGGTCCCTGCTGCAGTCTGTAGTCCCCACATGTCTTAAACACTCCACCATCGTTCCTGTCCCCAAAAAGACAATCATCACCTGCCCCAACGACTACCGCCCAGTAGCACTCACCTCCATCATAATGAAGTGCTTTGAGCGGTTAGTCAAATTATTCATCACCTCCTCCCTCCCTGAATCTCTGGACCCCCTGCAGTTTGCCTACAGAGCAAACAGGTCCACAGACGACGCCATAGCCCTCACCCTCCACACTGCCCTCTCACACCTGGACCCGAAGAACAGGAACACATATGTGAGAATGCTGTTCATTGACTACAGTTCAGCATTCAATACCATTGTGCCCTCCAAGCTGGCCATCAAGCTCAGAGACCTCGGGCTCAACAGCGCCCTCTGTGACTGGATCCTGAACTTCCTGACGGGCAGACCCCAGGCAGTGCGGGTGGGAAACATCACATCCTCCACCCTGATTCTAAACACCGGTGCCCCTCAAGGCTGCGTGCTCAGCCCTCTCCTCTACTCCCTGTTCACCCACGACTGCGTGGCCACACACAGCTCCAACACCATCGTGAAGTTTGCTGATGACACGACCGTCATCGGCCAGATCACAGACGATGACGAGACGGCGTACAGAGAGGAGGTCGAAAACCTGACATCTTGGTGCCAGGATAACAACCTCCATCTCAACATCAGCAAAACAAAGGAGCTGATTGTAGATTACAGGAAGCAGCAGGGAGAGGGACACGCCCCCATCGCCATCAATGGGACTACGGTGGAGAGAGTCAAAAGCTTCAGGTTCCTTGGGGTCCACATCACTGAGGACCTGACATGGTCTCTTCACACCACCACCATCACCAAGAAAGCTCGACAGCGGCTCTTCTTCCTCCGCAGGTTGAGGAGGTTCAAAATGGATTCCAGGATACTCTGCAACTTCTACAGGTGCACGATAGAGAGTATCCTGACTGGCAGCATGACGGCCTGGTACGGCAGCTGCACCGACCTCGATCGTAAGGCTTTACAGAGGGTGGTGAAAACTGCACAGCACATCACCAGGACGGAGCTGCCATCCATGGAGGACCTTTACTCCCAGCGGCTCACGAAGAAATCACTACGGATTATCAAAGACCCCCATCACCCCAGCCACAAACTGTTCTTTCTGTTGCCGTCTGGTAGACGTTACCGCAGCATCCTGGCAAGGACAAGAAGATTCGGAGACAGTTTCTTCCCGCGGGCAGTGAGACTGTTAAAAAATGGAACTGTTGAAACAACATCAAACATTCATCTGCTACTCAGTAGTATGTATCTAATACCTAATATATATATATCATTCCAATAACTTGTATATAGACTCTATTGCACTATTCCACATCATAACTTTATTTCATTTTATAACTATTATTATTTTTGTATTGCTCATGCTCTTATTGTTATTATGTTATTATGTTGCATTGTTGGAGAAGCCTGTGACATAAGTTTTTCAACTACATAATTACTCTGTAACTATGTCAGATTGACAATAAAGAACCTTGAACCTTGAACCTTGACTTCGACCTTTTAGTACTGAACAAACAATGAAAAACACGCTTGACAACACGGGCTTGAAGACTGTACATTCCTGTACTCCGATTTTATGTGACAGTAGCAAATGTTTTGAGAGGTCGGATGTGTTGCCGCCTTTCGCAGAAATAAACTTCTTGCAGTGGTTACAGACCACACCATTCAGACTGGCAGTCATATGCAGACACACTTTAGATTTTCGTGCCGACATCGAGCTAATGAAAAAACGAAAGCTAACCGAAAGGCTCAGACGTTCGGGAGGAAGGTGAAGGGCGTTGCTTGGCAATTAAGCCAATCACCGAAGCCGTTGCAAGATGCGCAATCTGATTGGCTGGCGGTTTGGGCGTGAGTTTAAGGATATTACGCCTCACTTTATATATTAAAAAAAATCGAAAACCGGATCTGATTTCGATACGGTATACCGTAGCCACCAGTAACCGGTATTTCGGTAATACCGGGAACCGGTATGCACCCCTAGTTGCAATGCAATGTGTGTATGTTGGATCTTACCACTCGTCTTATTCAGAAAAATGGTGGCCACCAAAAGCTTCCAGGGGTCGTGGAAAAGTGTTTCCTGTACGAGGTTGTAGGGTGAGCGGGGAGGTGTCCACTTCTTGAAGGCCTTCCTCCTGGGGGGGCTAAGGTCTGTGTATGGACAGTGTACATATCTTCTTAAATGTTAAGGTATACTTAATGTATCATATACAAGTATACACAAACTTTCATTTTGCTTCTTTTATAAACAATTTAACATTACCATCACTGGGGTGTTTCCTTCTAAAATAAGGGCTTGTTTTGCGTTTGTCTTCCCCGCACTTGGACCCTAGGCAAACAGGAAACATTTATGTATATATTATTTAAAAAAACACATTTGTTATGATCTATACTGTCAGACTTCTTCATCAAGACATATATTTCAAATACTTGGTGGGAACTCAAATGAATCACACTACTCATTTGTGCATTTTTGTTTGAGGCCCTCTGTTTTAACTGATCATACATGCTAGAATTTAAATAAGTTAAAAGAAAAATAACACTTACTTAAACTGCTACCTTTACACGCTGTCAGACATTGCAGATCATACTTACTATTCTGGGAATCTCTCACTGGTGTGCAGCTCCCACCAGTGGTGTCAGGTAACAACACCTCCTCTTCCTCATCCTCAGCATCTGCCTCCAGATCAGAATTAGATTTGTTGGCACCTTTGCTGTGAATCTGCAGCTCATCTCTGCCTCGTTCATCCTCACCCTCATCCTCACTCTCAGTGGCAGGTTCAACATTCAGTTTGGGAGCAGAAGGCCTCGAGTCTGCTTCTTCATCCTTGCTAACAATGAGAGTGTGTTGTTGGTTACTGGGAGGAGCCAGTCGGAGTAGCTTCTCTCTCAGCTGACCTGACCTCTGAAGGCTCATCTGCAGTTTGACATCATCCTCTTTGGTTAAAGGTGCTTTTATGAAGCTCTTCACACATGCACTTTTTACTTTTCTGTCTTTAGTTTTACTTCTGAGGGAGGAAGAGGCTTTTTTAGATTTATTAGGAGGT